ATATATATATATATATATATATATATATATAAAGAAAATATCCTCAAAGCACTTACGTTAACAATTGAGATAATAAGTTAAAAATTTATAAATTAATTGATTGAATTATAAGAGTTTGATAAAATTAGTTGATAAGTTAAATGATAAATGTAAAATAACAAAAAAAAATTTTATAATACAAGTTAGAGAATAACATGATAGGAAAAATATAATTTAAATTGAAAGAGGTAAAAATAAATATTAAGTAAATTAATGAAGATTAAAAAAAAAGTAAAGACTTAAATTTATAAACTGCTTCCATTAACTCTGAAAAAAATATTATAAATTTTTAAAATAGATTTGCATGATGTAAAAAACAAATCATATAAATTCTTATACCAGTATTATACTAAACGTGTTTATTTTAATTACATTACTTTATAAATTAGTCAAAAGAGTCTATAATTTCTTAAAAAACATTTTATCAAATACACTCAAAATATGTTTTTATAATTTATGTATAAGTTAATTTTTGTTTTAAATAAAATTTATTTCATTTTTTATTTATTTTCTCTTATTAATATTTAAAAAATTATTTAAACTTTTTTTAGTAATTAATTATACACTATCATTTTTTTAATCATATTATTAATAATATTTATCAGTTTTACTGATAATTACAAATATTTATAAAAAAATCTACCAATCACTTTTAATAAAATTTTCTCTCAACTACTTTTACTCTTTTATATAAATTAAATATTTTAAATAATAACAATAATGATAATGTAAAAGTGCAATTGTCTAGAAACTAAAATCATTAATCGTGCTGCTTTGGAGAACCCGTACATATTAGAAAGTATTTATAATTCTGCATTGCTTTTTAGCAAAAGGCCAAAAGCCAAAAAGTTAATCATTTATATGGAATCTTTTGTCAGTGTTCAAAAAAGTTAACATTTTAATACGTGTAACATCCATGATAAAACTCTATTTTATATATCTTAAAATTTATATTGAATAAATAATTTTGACCATATATATTTTATTATAAATTTATACCAAATAAATTATATATTTTAAATATTGATGATTAAAAAATATTCGTTTTTATTGTAAAATAAAAAATTGATTAAAAGATATAAAGAATTAGGAAAATTCCTTTAAAATATTTTGTTAAAAATAGTTAAAATATCATTATTTAATAATAATTCTTAAAAATATTCTCATTTAAAATAATTATTCTAAAATATATAGAGATATGATATTTTTATCTTGTCTTAAAATCTTTTAAAAAATGTTTTAATTTTTTTAGAATTTAAACAAACATCTTTTAGACATTACATTGATCTCTTTAATTATTTGAAATATATTATATTATATCTCCATGAAGGAATGTCATTGTAATTAAAAAAAATATGTGCAATATCACAAAATGTCCAAATACCAAAGGTATTAATATAATAATAATAATAATAAATTGCATAGAATTATATTTTGGGTTGTTGAGACGACTGAAATGAGAATTTGATCATTGAGATTTAAAAATATATTTTAATGTGTCTAACCACATTCACATTGCTTGAAAAGATGAAAGTTGGCACTAATTAAGAAAGAAGAACGGGAAAGGAAATGATATATATGCATTTGGTAGCTAATAATGTAATGTTGATTGATTTGCTTTGAATTATATGAACTAGTGAATAACATAAACTGAACATTATCTTGAGACGAAAGCAACTTCGATCTCTGATGGAGATTGTCAAGTCCTTTTCACATCTTGCATAATAAGAAACCATTTCTTCAAGTTTTACTTTTCTTAGTCTCTGTTTGAAGAAGCACACTTAATGTGAATGTCGGTTTCATCACTCGGGGCGCTATAATATCCTATTAACTTGATGTATATTGATTAATTATAATGGTTTTGTACCAACCTGACTTAAAGCCGAGCTTAACCAAGTTTATGGCATAATTTGACCGAGATCGTAATTCGATAAAATTGAGGTTAATTATGCCGAGCTGAGTTGACGTAAAGATTATATGTGTTACACTAGATATAATTAAGGCATAAAGAAGGGCAATATATCTCGATATATTAATGACATCGAACACGTCATTTATGATAATCAACTACCGAGAACTATCAGGAAAATAATCGTGTAGCAGTTATGCAGTTACCTCATGAATGACCACACAGAATAGGTAAGGATATAATAGAGACATGGGATAGAGTGAGATAACTAACTTGATCGTCAGAATCCTTTTTGCAGGTACATCCGAGACGCGCGAGGAGAAGATCGACCAGAGAGATTAATCCCGCAGGCCAACTTCGGTTAATCCCTTACAAGGCCAAGGCGAAGAAGATGAACTACCCGAGCTGAAGAACCGACCTCGTTCTTGTAGGAACATTTGGCGCTAGAAGGAAGGCCCAAGCCACTCTTGCCCCTTAACATCGACTAGGGGGCTTGTTCCAGTATGCCTAAAAGTCCCACATCACTTAGGAGTCGAGGCTAAGATAGTTTATAAATACCCTCTCTCCTTAACCCACCGAAATGTCTTTTCAAGGACAAAATCGTGATAGCTCAACGAGCGTCAAAGTGGACAATACCTCGGATAAAGGTGACCCTAACGATTACAGTAGACTTTCGTTTTACCATCCTTTTACCTTCCGTGAAAAGCAAATTAAGTTAATTATATTGTATATGGATATATAATAACTTAATAAGGTGGGAAAAGCAAATTAAGTTGTTGGTGTGAAAGAAGAGGATCATGGTTGTCAACATGTCATTGTCTATTGAGGTCATTCATCCATAACCACTAAAGCATGAGCAGGCAAAGCTTACTCAGCTTTCTCTAAAGGACAACACGCGATAAGCTCATTTGAATTGTCAGCTTCCTAACTCAAAATTCCCTCCCTAAATACCTACAATTAGTGTCTATCCATCTTTTATATTTTTTATATATGCACAAAGTTTGTAATGAGAAAACAACAAAAGAGAATTTAGCAGGTGTATTTTCATAAGAAAAATGAGCATGATCAAGTCATTCATTAATCACAAAATTTCTACACCATAAGTATCATAGAAAGGAACTTTGTAGAAACAAAAAAATTGAGTGTCATTATCGTGACAGTGACCTAATTAAAGCGTATTCATTGTTGGTGTCATTGCTGTTAAAAAGTTATTTGTTTTGTCAACAAATAATTCAACGTGGAGTCGTTATTATGGATTCATTAACTGCCCGTACATTTCAAGTCCCCACCCCACCAAAGCAAATCAAACAAATCCACTCCCCCTTACTTAGAAGTGAATGCACTTTGCACCGCTCTCAACAAATTAATTCGTACGCAAATTAAAGAAACTTTTATTAACTTTGAAAATGTAAGATATCACAATTAACTAGGCTGTGGTATGATATACTAAGATATAGTTACATTATAATAACATTTTATTCTTTAACTAGGCTCTGGTATGATATACTAGTAATTTGTACTCCACAAAAAACAAAGATTATTCCTTGGATCACGAAAGACGTAGGATTGATGAGGATCGCGGCGTGGCAACTTGCATGCATGGCCTCCAGAAGCGACAAATTGGATGGATGAATGGAGAGTGTAGTATAGTACAGTGGTGACGACAATAATGTGATGAGAATGATGAAGATCACATAATAATGCAAGCAGAGGTGTTTTCTTCACAGAAATATTCATCACAACGGCTCACGTAACAAGGCCTGCCCCCACCGTAACTATCATAAACGGGCCTTCCGTAGTAAGCGTCATAGCATGGTGGGGGCCCACCGTACCCATCAAAGCATGGCCCACCTGGCCTACCTTCATAGCACGGCACGCAGCATACCCCGATTGGAAC